CATTTATCATCATGCTTGTTTATTCGCCTTCAATGCACCGATTTATTTGCGCTCATCGCGCCCAGTTATCGCATCCATCACTCCCATTTATTCATGTTTAATGAGCCGATTCATTCGCGCTCATCGCATCAAATTATTATATCCATTAAGCTCATTTTTTGCTCAACACGCTGATTTGTTCGCGCCCATCATGTCCAGCTTCCGTGCCTATTGCCAGTGCACCCATCTACTAGCATCATATTGGATCGAACTGTCGCGCCAGTTGCGCCGAGTTTTTTCGCGCTCACCGGACCAAGTCTTTCGTGCTCATCGCCGAAAATTTACCGTTATCATCCGCGCTAGTCGCGCCAGCTTCCATCACGTCAATTTATTCACGTTCTACGTGCCCATTTCAAATTTGCGCTTATCGCGGCCAGTTACGGCCATTCATCGCGCATCGCTTCCAGTTTTCGCGCCAACTACACCCAGTTTTCGCGCCAATTGTGCCCAGTTCTCGGGCTCATTGTACCTGCCGAATCCGGAGATTCGGCTTTTTTCTCGTACGCGTATGTTTACTACACTCCATTGTGTTCCTCGTTCTGCACCACATTGTGCTTATCTTCTTCCAAATCGTGCTGTGCTCATTTGCCCAGTTATCATTCGCATTATCCCCAGTTTTCCGCGCCTTTGCGCATGGCAGTCGTACTCATCGCCTTTATTGCCCTTGTTTTTTTCTTCTTGGCACTCATTGCGCTTCCGCCGTTCCAGAACTCTTTATTCATGTCATCGGACTCATGTCCTCATGATTTTACAGGCTATGGCATCTCACGCTTACGTGTTCTTCTACTATCATCATATTCCATCCATCCTCTTATCGCCCTGCGTTTTTGAAATCATTCCATTTGGCATTACACCTGCCCAACATAAACTATTTTTCTTCAATGCCCTCGCCGATATTTGGCAGGCTGGGCGGCTGTCCCTCAACTACTTCCTCTATCGCTTCGGATGTGCATCAGTCGAGGCCCTCGTCCATTCGTTGTGCAAGCTACGGCATCCAGTGAAGACTCGTCTTCGGTTACTTACCGCCTTCAAGTTACTGTATCCGGTCTCATGATCGCAGTTTTCTTTTGCTCGAGCAGCAGGAGTTCCACCATGGATCCTTTGGCATCTGTTCCTATCTAGTATCTGCAGGCTCAATGTTGTCATCCTGTACATCCTGGGTTGGCTTTTGGGATCTGTGGCCCGCTCCTATTCTATTCTCTGCTATCGGGGCATGCACTTGTTGGTTCATTCAGATATAGACATTACCGCATATGCGAACGGAGCCCCTGTCGGACCTTTGTTCTGTTATCAAGTTATTGATCGCGCCACCAGGCTCAGGCCTCGACTCATTGTCGACGAGAGTTCGCCGTAGACGGTGTGCAGCTGCGCGCATATCTCGCAATCATTATGTATTCGTCTCCTCTTTCATTCCCAAACAAGCCAACCAGTCAGCTCGTCTCCCCATGCCCTTCGATCGTTTACATCCCGTCTCATGGTCGGCGGTCGACACGTCATCTGTTTTCAACCCACAACTTTCTCATCATTGGTACCACTGGACTCGCTTCGCCTTTGGTTGCCCGACACACCATCTACCTTCGCCCGGCTGCGGAAGCACTGGTAAAGTTTCTTGCCCAGCAGTTCCTGGCGCACTGGCCAGGCAGCTAATCTCATCTTGTTCTATCGGCTTCGACTCCCTTGGAAACATTATAACTCTCATTGTGACTCTGCAGCGGAGCATGATGTGTACATCGCCGTCGCTGTCGCACTTCCGCAGAAGCGCGCATATGTATATCCGCTATGGGGAAGGAGCCGTGTACCACGCCCCCCATGTGCCACATGTCATTCGGAGGTTACTCCTGGGGACTGTATTCCATCGGTGCACACCCTGGTATGCATCAGGAGGGCATTCACCGTAACTGCCGCTGTCTTCCATTCCATGTCTAAGCTTCGTTTATTGGAATTTGGTCTCGCCTCGAGAAACCCAGGTCCGACGACCCTTCATCTCCCAGGTCCGACGTACTAATCGGCACCTACCTTGCTGTTAGCTGAGGCAAGACGAGCTTGCGAGTCTGCCTCAGTGTTAGGCAAGGTAGATTAGATTAGATAGGACCATCATACACAGCCACCTGTCATTGCTCTTTGCTCCCGCTCGTCTACGCGCTGCACCAAAGACCTCTTTTCCTCGTGTCTATGCATTCATATCCTCTCAATTCTTTTGCCCCACCCTCCCATCCCTGTTTTTGTAGCTCACGCTAGGGTAGCTACGGGTCTCGCTTCACATTTCATCCCTGACCCGGGTTGCCTTCTGCGTACGGGTTTGGCCGTGTCCGCTAGCCATCTTTTCCCGCCTCGGAAAATTCCGCATCAGCTTTTTGGCTATGCTCATTTCCCCCGAGTCGGGCGGCCACGACCAAGCCCCCCCCACACCCACACACACCTTCGCATCACATCTCTATATCAGCATTGCGTAAATATCTAGATTATTTATACATCTAGATATTCACTCTTTCCTTCATCTCCCAGGTCCGACGTACTAATCGGCACCTACCTTGCGAGGGAAGGAAGGAAGGCGGTAGGCCCGGAGGAATGATGACGCACTCACTAGCACGCCCAAGCTTCTAAAGAGCTGCGCGACGCGCCATGGATGGAAGCGGAAAGGAATAAAACGAATTTATTCGAAAATTTGCGCGTCGCCCGTGGTCGCAATCCACCCGCTCCACGGCGGCTCCGTCCATGCGGGCGTCGACATGCCAAAGGCGGTGTGGACATCTTCAAGATTGCAACTACTTGGCTTGCGGTAAGCGTTGTCATCTCCTCCTGGCCCTACTATGCTCCAGATCTTCGGTCGCCGCCGTCGTATGTGGAGGAGTGGGGGTGCCAGCGCAAAGCCAATCACTTTGGTCGTGGCGAGATTACGTCAGCTCCGCTGGCTTGCCTCGCCCACTGTCCCCGTCGGCTTACTTGCATGTTTCTTGCGCGGACTCGCATGTTTCCGCTGACAACTATGCACTGCTGCCAGTGTGCACCGGCAGCTCTGGCTCTTTGCGGCTCTTATTTCATTTCATGATCATTTTAAAATTTAGAGTGCATGGGGGCCCCTTGGGGCCCATGTGGCACCACACGTAGGTACATGTAAGTAGACTAGCTGGCCGTATGGGAATAACAAGCGGTGGGCATGTAGCAGCAGTGGGTGGAGTGTGCTATGGGGGGGGAGGGTGTGATTTAAGAGGAATTGATGCGATGTAGAGGTGTCTCGACAAGTAACCAGAAGTATGAGAGTGAGAGAGATGTATGGAGAGAGAGAATTAAGTAAAGAAAAGGAGAAAAAGACGGCTTGCCTAGGGTGCGTAGCGCGGGAGGCGGCCGGTGTCGCGCATGAAGGCGAGGACGGGTTTGGGGTCCGATTTCACACCGAGGAGGAGCCAAAGGGAGAGACGGGCCATGCCAACTTTGCGAATGAGCTCGAGGCGCTGCTGACGGTACATGGGGCATGCAAGGATGAAGTGCGACACCGTCTCTGGGACATGGCAGTGGGCGCAGTCAGGGGAGGGGCGGAGGTGGAAGTGGAAGAGGAAGGTGTTGAGGCCGATATGGGAGGTCCTCAACTGCGTCAGCACGCTGCACTGCGGGCACGAGAGCCCATCATACATCTTCTCCACCTTCTTCCCTGGGATCGCGTCACCGAGGAGAGAGAGGCGCGCAAACTTGAAGCACGTAGTCATCCAGCCAGCACTTGTGGAAGAGCTTGGCGCCTGCGGCCAGCGCTGCTGCCCTGCTAGCGGGGAGGGGTTTGGCGAAGGCGAGGATGGGGATAGCGAGGTCGGAGGAGGCACCGAGGGCCGCCTCTTTCGCGTGCGCATCCACAGCTTCATTGCCTGGGATCCCGACATGCACTGGAACCCAGTGAATGTGGATCCTGAGCATGGGACGAGCGGAGCGGAGCCGACGGAAGAGGGTGTGGAAGATGGAGAGGAGGTGCTGGCCAGGCTGGGGGCGCAGCGCTCCAATTGCGGTAATGGCGGGCTGGCAGTCAGTGAAGATGTCGACACTACTGAGCCGCGGCGTCGCCTTGATGATGTCGAGGGCGAGGATGGCACCGACGACCTCCGACTCGAAGACAGTGTGCTCGTCTTCGCTCCCCAAGTACTTCGTCCTCACTAGTCCCTCCTTTGTGGCTCTACTGTGTGGCTGACCTTTTTCACCAAATGGCAAAAAAAAACCCAAACATTCCACCAGTTCCAAAATATAGGAACAAGACCTAATAGCAAAGTTGGCATCGCATCCACTGCACTTGGCAGAGTAATTCTTATGTGGAAGTCCCTCGTTTGAATCGAGGTTAGGTCCTTTGGCTCGTACAATGCCAGTGCGATTTTTTTATTCGCCCCCTCACAGAAGCCCAAATATTACAGTATCAAGCACGGTTCTTTGTGCAAGTTCCTCGTTCGACTCGACGTTAGATCCTATTTCTGGCACCTCTGTTTTTTAACCACAATCAAGTCCACCAAGCCCAATCGAAGTTTTCTTCTTCGTTTTCATTCAGCCCACCCAAAGGTCTGAAATAGTCCGGTATCAAGCAAGGTTCAGGCTTTTAGGAGGAAGACCTAATAGCGAAATTGGCATCGCACCCACTCCTGCTGGTGCGAATCCGTGCATGGCTATGGAAGTCCCTCGTTTGAACCGAGGTTAGGTTGTTTTCATTCTTCGCAGCCGTTTTTTTCTTTCTTTTCACCCAACCCACAGCCAAAAGCCCAAAACGATCACACGCACCTATCCAAGGGCAAGGAAAGGGGAGGAAAGACTTAATAGCGAAATAGGTATCGCGTCCACTCTAATTAGGCCGAGTATCAGCTGCAATATGTGGAAGTCCCTCGTTCGAACCGAGGTTAGGCCCTACTCCAGCCACCGAATTTTTTTTATCATCCCACCAAGTGCTGGAAAAAAAATACAGCAGTAAGCTAGGTGCAGAATTGCACCAGGAAGACCTAATAGCGAAGTTGGCGTCGCGTCTGCTCTGGTGGGGGACAATATTTGGTAATGGCCTTCATGTGGAAGTCCCTCGTTCGAACCGAGGTTAGGTCCTTCTCCAGCCACCGAACTTTTTTTATCATCCCACCAAGTGCTGGAAAAAAAATACAGCAGTAAACCAGGTGCAGAATTGCACCAGGAAGACCTAATAGCGAAGTTGGCGTCGCGTCCGTTCTGGTAGGGGACAATATCTGGTAATGGCCTTCATGTGGAAGTCCCTCGGACGAACCGAGGTTAGGTCCTTCTCCAGCCACCGAACTTTTTTTATCATCCCACCAAGTGCTGGAAAAAAAATACAGCAGTAAACCAGGTGCAGAATTGCGCCAGGAAGACCTACTAGCGAAATTGGCATCGCATCCACTCTGATAGATGGTAATGACCTTCATGTGGAAGTCCCTCGTTCGACTCGAGGTTAGGTTACGGAAGAGTTCTGACATCCCTCTTTGATTCAGCCCACACAAAAGTGCGAAATAATTCCGCTAAAACTCGTCGTACAGTTCATCGGAAATCCGGAACAATGGATGTCGCATCTGCCGTACAAGGTCCTGACTGTCCGGATCAAACCCCTTTTCCTCGTGGAACTTGCGCACTGCGGCGTAAACAACATCGTCCCAGAAACGTATTCGCACTCGCCTGGACCGGGATATGGACGGGAACCCAAGACGAGTAGCCTGGTGTATTGTGAGATTGTCGGCACCGGAGGGATCGAGTGACCAGTACGCGTCTGGCCATCGGAATGATATTGGATTTGTTAGATTGGAGACAAACAGATAACCTTGCGGAGGGTCGTTCATTGGTGCTGAAATTTTGAGCTCCCAGTTAATGAGGTATACAAGTGCTGTTGCCCGATGTCAGTGCCCAAACAATGACCGCTCGAACCCTAGAACACGCACCGTAGTCTTCGTAGTCCGACGTGATCTGGAGACGACTGAATATGTGATTCGCCTGGCATAGCCAAGAATCCGGCTCCTCCAGTGCCACAGGAAAATGGAGAGTAGTATCAAATACATCACACGAGTTGTGCCTTCGACATTGAACATGGTCAGCTCCGGCCTTTTATTTAAACATAAAGATAATACCGGGTCCAACCATCCTTAAGGATTTCTCCATGCATTTCTGTACCCCAAGGAATGACATATGTGTCCGCATCTGTCAGCGATGCGATCTCAACTGCGCTCTTGATTCGAGAGCCTAGAGGGTAGTACATTACTGCCCCCAAATTCCACTCTGCCTTTAAAACGTCCGCCGGTGGGATGGAGTGATAAATGCGCTCGTGGAATTGATATGGGTCCATGGAGTGAATAACCGCAGTCTCCGAATCCGGACGATCGAGGGGTATTATGGTATCAAGTCTCGATCTCTCCCGCCGCTGAATAAGAACGACGTCCATTGTGGGGAGATCGCTGGGTGTGAGGTCTATGCAGAGCTGACCAGTGGAGGGGCGAATCCAATCGGTACCCTGAGTGTCCAACTTCGACCTATGATGAGGAATATGAAGGTATAAGGATTTAGTCAGCGACTCACAATTGATCGCTGGAACTTTTGTTCAAAATATTGGTTGGCATCCTGTGGGAGAGTTAGAGCTGCTCAACGTGGTTCCCGAATGCCTACCCAGAAATCTGTTTCCTCGCGGGAACTCAATTCCTGCACGTAAAGTTGGGAGAGGACATACAGTGCGCGCAGTAATATATATGCTCAATAAACTTGAATACTGATAGTGTTTCAGAAATTCATAGTACGGGACGAGATCTAGATCAAGGGTCAGGTCAGGCCCTATTCTCCGTGCCACATTAGAACCAGAAGACGAACGAACCACCATGAGCTATAATACCATGAATACCGTTGGAAACCGTCACAGCGAAAATTTGAACAAAGTTGGGATGCCTGAAACTCAAGGTTACGAGAAGGATCGGACAAGTATCGCGGAGACTCACCGAAGTCCTGAATATCGGGAAAGATCCTGCCGCCACTCCTACGATGCGCAATGAACACATAATTCAGGGGCGAAAAGAAGGGTATGTAGTGCACCTGTTCCGCATTTATCCCCTCGTACAGAGTGATAATCATGTCAGACTTTCTGCCGTCGATTTTTCCCGAATACACCCGCCGCACGGACCCTCGTACCGGTCGTTTATGAACGACACCCGAAGCGCTGCTGACCCGTATCTCCCTCCTCAAATAAACATCTCCCAGTGGGATCCGCCGAAAATCTACTGCCCGAGCGTTAGAGTTATCGATTTATCTGCTAAGAGTGAGTCTACTCACCGTCAGGGGGATTCGCGGTCTGGTTTGTGACATTGATCGTGAATGCGCCGCCATTGACGACGAAATGGTGCGAGTTCGGGAAGAAGGCGCCCGCGTACCTCAATTAAGCAGCGTGAGGATGCGACCAACCCTGCTCAATACAGGTGCTTACGGGGTAGGTCCCGAATTGATTACGGTCGACTCTCCTAACTTAAATTGTGGATCCGAGTGAGGCTCGTCGTCCATGGACGGTAGTGGCAAGAGGAGAAAGATAAGTACAAAGTGCCAAGCCGCCCCACGCGCTGCCGGCTATAGGGACCCGGATTGCACCCAGGTGTACGGCACTCAGCCGATATCAACCTCATCACGTTTTCAATTTGAGGTGATAGATGCCGGCCAGCTGTCCGCAAGGGGCACCCGCCGGAAGATGCCGAAACACTCGCTTAAAGTATTGGGTCTGGGACCACCTAATGAGGGCGTCGGATCCGCTGGGATCAATTCTCTAGAGCAGACTCCAGAGCATTGATGGGAGAGCGAACAAAACCTGGAACAAGCCGGAGAATCTCGTAGAGCGAACAAAAAATGATCGTAGACATGAGGTCATGCGTAAACAAGTGTATATATGGAGCTGAGCTGTAACGGCAAGGGACTCCGAAAGGGGAAAAGAGCTGGAATCTCTGGAAAGGAAAAGAGAATAAAGAAAGAGGGAGTCCCAAGTGAGAAGAGTCCCGAAACTGGCGTTGATTCGACGAAGAGAACTACGACGAACCAAGAACTATATAAGTACAAGAGTATCGGAGTACGAGTAATCTAACAATATGGACTAGGATAAATCTGGATAAATATGATGAGAATCATAAGTAATGTCGTGAAAATGCGGAGAGTTCGGAGTGTATCGTAAATATAACTAGTAATGTAAGGGGCATGTCCGGAATATTCCGTGACCCTTACATGAGCCAGCTCATTATCACGCGTCTCTGCTCCCCTGACGCGTCTTTCGCACTCTCTGCGGCATTTAAACGTGCCACTATGGCATCAATGAGTCTGCAGACGCTCTCCGTGACCGCCCCGAGCTTGCAGGCCTTGACTTCAATGGCTTGAATATGTTCGTGCGATATGCAACGCTGGTGAAGCCTACGATCGAATTCTCTCAAATGGACTGTCGGAAATGTCCTACCTCCCTTTCGCCACAAATCTGCCTTTTCTTGGCTTCTGCTCCGGGATACCACACGGATTTGATAGAATTGTGTCAGTCAGCATTCCGAGACCTCGTGTGGAATCAGCCCCCAATTTCGCCAACCGAAGCGGAAATACTGGAATACAATGACACCGCTTTACAATACGAAACTTGTAGGTCTCCAATATTCCAGTTGCCTGTTTTATTATAATATTCCATATGCAGCGTTCCGTCATTTATACCCGCCGATGCGCTCGTGCCAAGACTCTGGCTGTTCGAACCACCGAGAAGACGCCAGAATACTGACGCTCACTGAGCCGCTCACCTACAAAGCGACTCTTTTCCCCGTGGGACATGGTGCACTCCCCATTTACACGTCGTCTTTGTATTGCAGCTGTACATAGAATTTATTCAATATCAATATCCCTCGCATTCCTCATGTATCCACCACTCTGTTTAGCCTGTAATAGCCGCTACCACCACAATTATTCAGTCCACAAGCAGAGTTCCTCCTGGACGTATTACGGTGGTGTCCCGGATGTGATTCAAGTCACGCAGCATTTCTTTTTAAAAAGTGCGCTGCTTGAGCTGTTCGCAAATAATATGGTATTTGGCTGGTAAGAGTCCACGCAACACATATCTGGTCGCATCTGACATCCTCTATCAGGCTCTCGGGCACCAATTGCGCGTGCATCTACAATCATGCGCTCTCAAGCCAAAAACCGCACGATGAAGCCAGTCAAAGCGATCGTTTGCAGCCGCCCTTGCAGAACGAAACAAGGCGATGGAGGGTACAGGTCAGGAGTGCTACCCGCACGCATGCGATCTCTGCTTCGTAATTTTGGAAGATGCAGAGAGGTGCTTGAGTAAGTCTTGCAACAAAATGTTGAATGAAATTAACCATGTTTTTAAGGCAAAATACAGGCAGCAGCGTGTGACGGCAACACGATTGGACATCGGTGTTGCAAGGTTCACGACTGTAAGAACCCACTGCCATCTCAGCGTCAGCACTTCTTGAACGGCCTCCATCTTTGCGTTGGCATCCAGCAATTGGTGCTGGCAGGAGAAATAATTTTTTGCATAGCCCTCGTCAAGAGGGCGAGCAAAGGTTCGTCGGATGACAGTGGTGTCCTTGTCTCTGTCGACAGACGGGCCAGCCTGAGGGTCAGCGAATTTTTGGCTACCTAAATCCAATTGATTGATGTGGGCTTCAGAACAACGATGGATAGAAACCTACTCAAATGTTGTGTCTGCTCAAGCAAACCAGCCGGCACATCGCGATGTTTTATGCGATGGTTTGATGTGTTGCATCCCCCAGCCGCTCTACACCACGCTGCACACTTATGGATGGTCCGTGTACACTCCTTGTTTGCTCGCCGGCGTTTATTCTCAGCCGTACGACAGCTAACATCACAGAGAAGTGAGGTACCAACTTCCTCTGCTGACTTCTTGAGTGTAAACCAGATGGCGACATTCTCAGGAATATTCCCAATGGCGGTGGAGGGATTGTGCCAATAGCACGAGCCACATTTGGTATGGCCGCACTATAAAAGAAATGTTAAATATTTTTGTAAAGGTGCGGCGACGGAATAAAATGGCAGAACCTTTTGGTACCATCTCGACCAGTTACTGA